ACAATAAAAGCAATCTGAAATGTTCACTCAACAACATATGAGATGTCATCAGATCATTTTAGATACATATCATCTATTACACAACGCATTCTTATTATGTACGTAAAACCATTATAAATATAAAAATATAGTGTATTTTTATATTTTAAGCATTAAATATAATAAAAAAATATTGCTATATTGTTTTCCGTGGCTTAAGAGTATTGTGTAAAAATTCATTTTTAATGCTTGATCGCGATTGACTTAATAAAAAGTCGATGGTATAAGTACCTCAGTCTCACTTATTTCAGAAGCCAAGTTGCTTTGTATGCCTTGTTTCGGTTGAAAATTTGAGATACAGCAGTAAAATTATAAGGTCAGAGGCATGACATCCTAGTACTTCAGTAATGCCTGAAACGTTTTTTTTTATTTTTGGCTATGGAATGGTGCACCCGCCTGCGCTAACGGTTTACGCTGGTTGGGCACCAGCAGGGAAGGATAAGATGAGCATGAGGTCAGGTCAGTTGGTCCTTCGTGACTTATTCACCAAGAATTTATCACGATGGTTTCCTGGGGGAACCACGTGGAGGTCAACCTGACATAGCACGTTGCTAGGAATAAGATCATCAATTCACATTACTAACAATCCCCTCTCCCCCCAAGCATGAGGGGTATCACGGACGTCGCACGCGAGCAAGTAAACAAGAAATTTCCTATTTGTAATAGACAGGATAAATGATTTTATAAATAAGATAGTTTGACTCTTAGTCGGTCACTGAATACCGCTTATTCTATAGAAATAGGTGTAGCCATAATAAGTAATGTGTGTTATAACCTAGATAAAATTCTCAGGTCAAATATGTTGCAGAATCCAACTGCATATTATACATAGTTACACGTAATCAGCAAAGCTAAATGTAACCATTGCAACCGAATCTCCGATCACATCGAAACAAGTCTAACAAGGACGAGTTTCATCAATGATAAAAGTGTATATTTAGCAGTCATAAAAATTTAAGGTAGATCAGTAACCAGTAAACGTCTGCTATAATTGAAATGTTTTTTAAACAAACAATTTAAATAATATCTATTAATAACGAAGAAATGGATGGATGGATGGATGTTTGTTATACTCTTTCACGCATAAAATGGTTTTCAATAAAACTATCCAATAATATAGCCCATACATCAGAATAGGCTACAAATTTGAAATTATAGCGAGCATAGCTAGTATTAAATATATTTAATTGGGATCACCCGTCACAAGATAAACCTGTGTGGAGCTATACTTCTATGTTAACACTCAATCAACATTCACAAGTTTAAACAAACTCATTACATGAACACAAAACCCTTCTGTTCCTGTAAGAATTTCCAAAAATTCTTGTAACTGTCATTAGACATAAAATAAATTGCTAATTTCATCTTTCTAGATATAGACTTATGAGACATATGTTTTTGACTTAAGATAAATGTTTTTACATATGTTATTAAAACAATTTATTCTTTTTGAACATAAGTTGAAAATTTATATTGCAAACCAAAAATGAGAAATTATGATAAATAAAAATTTACAATTTTATTCCCAGAACTGAAAATTTTTATTCAAGTAAAAACGTGTTAGCAATTTTGGAATCTATCAAAGCAATGGAACTGTCTCATTTTTTTTCTGTTCGGCTCCATATTACATGTTATGTCAAGTGTTACTCGTTATTATGCTCTTCTGCTATACTCTTCTACTGGCGAAAGTTGTTTAGATTCGTGCATTGTTAGATTTCAAATACATCCCGTATAATAATCAGAATATTAAATAGTGTCAATATTCAATTCTAATGTTATCAACAGTTACATATATATAATAAAATAAATCAATAACAGAATTAATACAAACCCCATTTGTTTCAAAATCAGCTGCGTACTAATTATTGGGGAATATCTGTAATTGCTGTTGCGTTAATGATATTACTTTATATATATTTTTTTTTAGTTAGGTACTTTATTATCTGAATGATATTCTGGAAGATTATATTTATAATGATTATTCATCATCAGTCATATACATAACAGTACCACGTAATGATAACTAATATAAATCATGATCATTATAAACTCATTACAGAATCTATCTACGGAATTGGACTAGCATAGCTAGTCTTGCAAAAGACGCCTGTTTGAGAATAACATGCGGTAATTGATTTAGAACTGTTGCCACTGAATTTATGTAATTATATGACAGCTGCCATCGATGGGGATACCTAGAATTATCTTAATTCTAAGTATAACCACTTGTATTACGTGTGCACTTTTTTCAATTAATACTTAATTATGTATGAAATAGGGTTTGAAATAGTTTAGATGTAGTAAGTGCTATGTATACCACAGGCAAACTTTGGTTCCAAAAGTATTTACTGAAACAAATTAAATAAAAACTGAAAGAACTTAATTAAAAATTGGCTGATGGCAACAGACTCAAAGTCTAGTAATTGTCGTTATCTATATAATTGTATGAGAGTAATGCAGTACTTACTTATAATGGATGGAAAGTAATCATCAGTAGAAAAATACATTCCATTTTTCCAGCTTTTTTAGTATATATGTTGGTTCATATTTAACAACATAATATGTGGAAATTTCACTATAATCCAGCCGTTTTTATATAATTGTGTATATGTGTGTGTTTATATATAACACAAACAGATAAATCAATAGTTTTCTCTTGTCTTTATTCCATGTAAATATGGTATATTAATTTTAGATGGAATAAAATTATAAATTATACAATACACCATTGTGCAACATACTTTATATACTTAGTACGTACTTTTACTAAAGTAGGCAATATAAAATAACTACATATATAGTATCGTTTCTTGTATAAAGAGTGTATCAGCCGTGATTACGTGAACCAGTTTTCTTTTTAAGATTCATACTAGTTTGGTTATTCCGTAACTTCTATACATATACCAGATATAATCTACACAGATCGTAATATTTACAACATTTGATATATTGACTTTACATAATTTGACACTGAAACTTGACCCTATCCAATCTAGATTGGGTTCTCATTGAGCTCTGAGTACAATAATGGCACAAAGCTAGAATAAATAACTAACCAACGCTCTTCATAAAAACGTAAAACAGAGATAATAACGAGACGACCTGCTGAATTTGTAATTAAAAATATTTGAACTAAGTAATCATTAAGTTATTAATAACCTATTGAATTAGTCATTAATAATATTTGAATTAAGTGATCAATCGGAATATACTGTTATATAATTTGATCGAGCTGAGAAGGTAGACAATCCGGATCTTAGACTTCTAATCGAAGATGATAGTACATAAACAGGTAAGCCTCACTGATTAGACTCACTTTTTAGAAAGTTGTTCCACGTTACACTAAAACAGATAATATTAGAAATACATCTTTCTCATTTTAATAAAGGTAACATAGAAAATTTTGCAGATTAGCTCATATTTTATCAACGTATCAACATATTTAAAAACAATTAGTGCATAGAGTCACGTGGGGCAAGTGTACGCACTTAAGGTTTGAAGTATCATATAATAAAATATTTGAAGTTAACTGGAACAAAACAAGGTTTATTATATAAAATATTTAATAATCAACAACTTAAATGCAAAATAAATAATTATCATTTACACAAATTCTTTGGAAATCAACAAAATCAAAACTGTTTAAATGCGTGCACTTACCCAAGTATAGGGGTAAGTGTGCGCAGTAGTGCGGGTAAGTGTACGCAACATGTAACATACAGTAAATAGAGTCAGACTCATACGATAAACCAGAAAATAGACATCCTCAACCTAATAATACATAAGTTCAAATATTTCCTTTTCAAAGTTATGCATTGATCTTGCCACCAGCTCTTACAGATGCTGTATTGGATCCAGTCTTCATTCGGTGGAAATATGTATTTTTCTCCACACAGTGGGCAAAATAATTCCTGCTCATCATTTTATTTATTTTCAGATCAAGTCGTATCTTCTTTTTTGGCAATTTATACTTCCTCTTGTTTTATCTTTTTCCAATTCTACTTTATGTATCAATGATTGACTTTTTGCCTTTCTTTCGCCGATTTTGAATCACAGTCATCCATCCAAGAAATGCCTAAGGCCAACTTCGGCATTTCTTGGATGGATGACAGTCGTACATATTCATTCCTAGACGAAGGTACACTCATTATTGCGGGTGCCACACTGTCGTTTGCTGCCAACCTTCGAAATTAATCTTTTAACAGCTTTTAGCTGTTCCTCTGTGACAACACTTCTATTTTATAATCGAGGCATTTTTTATGTATAATTAAACTCTGAAATAACAAATTGCATCATAAATACAAAGCCAAAGCGGACCGGGGTAAGTATTCGCATGCGCACACTTACCCGACATGCTTATGCGCACACTTGCCCCAAACCATCAAAATAAAATTTAACCAGAACTGAGCAATATTACGCAATCGTCATCACCAAAAGATTAAACACGGCTTATATTACATAAAATGTACTGTTCGATGGTATAAAGCATAATTTCAAAATATAAATATATTACAAAGGAATGAGTCTCTCATTTAAGACAAAAATCGCAATAATTCAAGCAAAAAACAATACTCACTTACGGAAACAAAATGGTTCACCGGCGGACAGTGAAAAAGTTGCACTAAGTATAGCCTTTTGTGCGCTAATGAGGAGAGGTGTTATCAGTTCGTACCTATAAACCGTTTTTGAAATACTTCGAGTGCGTACACTCACTCACTGCGCACACTTACCCCACGTGACTCTAATCTTTATCTTGATAACTTTTCTTCGATCTACATTCTAATATCAGTAACTAGACTATTTACGTAATCTACAACCAATTAGTTCTTACAACGTAATAACTGAATATTAAAACAATATAATAAGGATGTGTAATCACATGATCAATGTCAAGAAACTGCTTAATCATGCTGAAAGAATAGTGATTAAATAATAGGTTAATGCAATTGCACTTTATTTATTCGACGCACTTTATTGAAATTAACATGACATATTTAACAAAAGAATTTATATTTTAAGACCTAGAATAAATTAATAAAAATCTAATTATTATTGTTATTTTCCATTGTGAAAGCTTTTATTTGTTCTTGATACATCTTATGTTTCTCTTCTAACTGCTGCAATGCGCTAGATGGACGTATTCCTCCAATGTTTAACAAGAAACTAATGTGTACTGGAGGTTGTGAATTTAACGTTCGAATATCTACATTAATGCCCTTGCTTTTATCAGTAGATTTAACTCTATAGTTAGTGTCATTTACATTTGTTATTTTAGCGTTAGTTTTTCCTGTTCTTAATGAATTTTTTAAGCGTGTTTCTGGGCAATCTGGGTTTTGTTTTTCATTGTTATGGCTTTTATTACTAAGTTTTGATTTTTCATTCGTTTGTAATAGTTTGTCTTTAGATCTATCCCGTATTTTATCTGCTCCAGCTGATTTTGATTTAGAATAATATATTTTTGACACCCGAGATGTTTTATTTGTTGACGATTTATTTACTAAATATGATGTATTCTCGTCTTCCTTAGATATTTTTATGCGTTGATGTTGGATAGAAAAATCTTTCTCAGCTTTCCTGTCAATATCATCCTGCACTGACTTTTTATATATTTTTAATCTATTTTCCATTCTAACTTTTTCTGAATACCTCTGTAGACTTCGAGCTCTTTCTAATCTGGGCTTAATTTTTTCAATGTCAGGCCCAAGTCCGCCAAGTTTCAGATTCGGTACGGGTTCAACTGTAGCTCTCCTCAAACGACGCCGAGGCTGGAAAACTTCAGAAACACTTTTAAAGTTATCTTCGCCCACGTCTTCAGGTGATTTGTTATTCAATTTCTCAGTAAAACGCAAGTCTTCTTCAAAAGAGTTATCTAAGTAATTTATAAGTTCTGGGTTAATAAGTCTATCATAGAATATTTCGTTGTAGCATTCCGTATTGTAAAATTCAGTAGCAGGATTATCAATTACTTCACTAATGCTTTCTCTTTCTGTATCTCCAAATTCCGGCGAAATAGAACGTATTTCTTGCATATTGTTTCTCTTTTCGGTATCTTTTGCTGAAAATTGTTTTCGAAACATTTCCAAATATGATACATGTCGAATTCTTTTATTATCTCGTTCCTTATTAACAAGATAACTATTTATATAATGTGTTTCTTTCTTCACCAGATTACCACTTTCTTGTTTTTGTTTCCTTGACTGTCCTTTTGGTATTTTAATAAGCACATCTTTATCATAAAATGGTACTAATATTGTGTCAACATTTTCGATTGCTAGTCCATCTTGTTTAATAGCTGTCTTTTTAAAATCTGCTTCTAGACTGTCTAAGGATATATTACTTTCAGAACTTGAACGTTTTTCCATTTTTCTGGACGAAATCTTTAATCTTTTTCTTTTACTCATAAATAAATACGATGAAGTTTCCATAATGACACGGTAACGTCAAATCTATATTGGAAACAAAAATATAAATTGCCGGACATATTTGAAATAGTTTTATAGAAATAGGTATAACGTAAAAAATGATATAAACATTATTTACTTAAAAAAATCAGAAAAGGTGATATTTATTCCAATCCAACACATTGCGTGTTGGATTGGAATAAATATAGTCGGTAACCCCTTTTATATTTTAAAGCTGCAAAATATAATTTTGAGATCTCTATAGCCCAAGAGCCCACGACGGCCAGACATACGTCTTATTAGTAAATGTCAAAGTACTTGTATGTGTGTCCCCAACACAGGTAAGAACTTTGGCCGGTAACACAAATTCGTTATTTTAAGAAACTCCATTTTTTCATATATTGTTTGTAGCAGTATTATAATTTGCGCTGCTCATTGCCAGATACTTAATATGGTTCCAACTCCCCGCCCGACCCCCCTAAACTATATTATTTTATGAATAAACTTACGTTTTTTAATAAAACTGAAATTTATGTATATTATTCAGAGAACTATTAAACTGTGTTTCCTAAATTGCCAGACAGTTTTGTTGGTTCTATCATCCTACCAGACGCATTGAAAGCGTATATTGGGCAACAACGGTGTATACAATTTCATATCTAATTTGTTGATTTATGAAACTCAATTTTTTCACATATTACTCGTAACAGTATTACAACTTGCGCTGCTCATTGACAGACACTTAGTACGGTTCCGACCTCCCTAAACTTCTTACCTGTGTTAGAGACACACATACAAGGACTTTCACATTTACTAATAAGACGTATGTCTGGCCATCGTAGGCTCTTGCTCTACTGGGAAAATTATAAAAAATATCTGAAATTATTACTGCTTGGTTACTCTAATATATTAAGTTCGTATAAACAGAATAGAATACGACTACGATAGCTGAAGAGTTTTTTAAAAAAGTATAGATAGGTATTTCTACCCAAGAAAGACAGACTATCAGTTATGTATTTTTCTAAATAAAATTAATACAAGAGGAAAATTCTTCGATTTGTAAATATAATATAAATAAATCATCAAAATTCCCTCAATGTTTAGGGATTTAGGTAATTTATAAAAAATATTAAACTGACAACATTAGTTGCAAATTAACATGTTTTATACATAGTGTTCCTATCAATGTTATACCTTGACAGTACATTTAGAGTACATATAATATGCTACATAGACAAAGTAACTGGTAAAACTAGTTTTCACATAAATTGCTGTCTAACTAAGCAGATTCCTTGCTGGAATGGTGCCAATGTCCGAAATAACAGATTGAGGGCGCAGTACTGTGAACTGACTGTAACCCCTTTAACGAATTTATCACTTAACTTTGGAACTGCATAAATCCGTTGAATATCACATTCTTTGAGTAACAGCAATGATTATTATATAACTAATGTATAAAATTTATTTAGGACTAACATGAGTGTAAATCCATTTGGGAAAATAATCGTTATCATTAAAATTGAATGACGATAACGCTCATCATTACAAGTCGTCATTCACCATGAGAAAGCATCTCTATTTTGCCTAGTGTGTTCGATATGGAACAATTACTGATTATTTCCGGGATTTCAGAATTGTATTGATGTAAGAAAACTATAAAGTATTGAAATATAGGGAGGTAACTTCCTGGAGGTGTCCCGTAAGAAAGACTTTAGAAAAATACATATACTTATGTAATTTAATATATAACTCATGCGATATGTATACATTATTAATACATAATATAGTTCGTGGAGAGAAACCATATAGACGTTTCAAAACAACTGATGCATCATCTGTCTATGAAATCTCTCGTCGAGCGCTAATGTACCTATCTGTCTACTAAAAGCAGTGTCAATATTTATTATAGTGTGAAAGTTCTTGATAGTAGTCTTGAACTTAACCTTAACTTAAACACGATTGTCTTCAATAATACTGACACAAAGTTATTATTGATTACTGATTTCCATAGAGATATTTTCTCCATAAACCTTTTTATTAAGTCAATTAGGAAGTTGTTTCATACTTAACTGGTGTGGCAAAGTAGACAACGGGCCACCAACTCTAGTCATGACTGCCAACACGTGCATTATGCAATGGCTTACTTTACCCCGGTGGTACATCTCATTCCAGAGGTGCCGTGTTCTTTCAAGCCAAAGAATAGATTGCAGCGCAAGCTCCTCGGGCCGAGAGATCGATATGTCAGAGGTTGTTAGTTTTAGCTTTTTTTGTAGTTTATAGTATTGGTTTAGTGAAATCAATTCCTTCACAGGTGGTGGTAATGTATAAACCGCATAACATTTTCTCACCATTTAAATGTATGTACATCACAGTCACACTCGTTGATTCAGGGTGAATAATTTGTAAGGTAATTCAGAATCAACGTGGTATTTCCTTAAAATATTTCGGTAATATGTAACCATTGCAAAAACAGTAAGTCTGCAATATTGTTGAGTACTTATTATGCATATATACTCTTTCACAATAACAATAAAAGATGACCCAGAGTACGTTACTACATTCTCTGGGTCATCTTGTATTGTTTTGTATAGATATGGCATATGGCAATATACCTTGGTATTGCCATGTCCTAAATATTTCAATATTTACCATTGAATGTTTAGTTTAAAATAAACTAAATTAAAATAAATGAAACACAATTTCTTGGAAGAAACTATAAATACACTGTAAAATTTATTCTTCAAATTGAAATATAGTTATATGAATCTATCTATATATTTACAAACTGCTGTAGGTAACACCTACTCATAATTATAATCTTCATATCTTTACTATATTTAAATGTTGTTCAACTAATTTTCATAAAATTATAGTGACACATATTTAGTAACTAGTATTTTACATGTGCGTTGACGGAATAGCTTACGCAAATAGAGAACAATGACGTCAACAAAAGAATAGAGATTTAAATCAGAAGAATAGAATAGAATAGAAAATCATTTATTCAAATAAAGTTACATTGAAGCACTTTTGAATAGTTATAACATTTTTTTTTTAATTTTAATCTACCGCTCATTCGGAATGCTGTCTCATCACAAGAAGAACAAGCAAGAAACTTGTGTGTTGCTCTTTTAAATAATTTATTCTTACTTACAGTTTAAGTTTAAGTGTGTGAATACAAACTACCGATTAGCACTAATTCAATGAAATAATAAAATAGAAAAAACATTCAATACACAACAACTGGTTAATTAATGAATAAGAGAAAATAAGTCATAGTGATTAGAGCAGACCAGTCCACACAAGCAGCACCCGTTCACGAGTATGACGGATGAGCCAGCCACCACTGCGCTCGACCATATTTTAGGGAGCCCTATGACCCGGCCCACCACGCCGCCACAAGTCTGGACATTTTAGTGAGCATGACTACTCAAAACACCAGACCACGTCATAGATCATCAGAACATTTAGTCCGTCGAGGAATGACCTGGAAGTCAATAAGATCAATGAAGATGCATTGCTAATAGCAACGGAACTACTAGTCTTTATTAATCTTCTCTCTCCAGTATTGAACATTAATTAGTTTTTTCGTATTTTTTTCTCGATCAATCAATATGTTCCCCTCTCACGAATGAAGCGCAGCAATTTGTCAAAAAAAAGGAAAGGATTATACCTAGTTTTTGTTATGAACAACTTCGTGTTTTATCGATTCTAAGGTCGATAGTCATTACGATGTGTGATTCACGCTCCAATCCATCGTAATCCTTAATTGAATCTCTAATTAGGATAGAATAGGATTTAATTTACAATAGCCATTACAAACTAATTCATAATCAGGGTTTTGACACTGTGATATGCATCTGTGGCATTTGATATTGGAACCGGAACGCAGGTTCCAATCGCCGAGGTGCACGTCATGGTGTAACGTAAAGGTCAGCAGGATTAGGCTTACCATATAGGAGTGTTCAAGGACGTTTATAATCTTGGTCATTTGTAGATGTGCAAAAAACTCATTAATATATGCAAATACAGCTAAACTATTTGGTTATTAAACAACAGTGTTTTGTTGCCCGCTATAGACCATTAAGAATGCACTACTGTATAAATGGACAAACAAACTAACAATCCACTTGTTGAAAGGTTAAAACCTTGTATAGGTGTATCTGTTATACCTCTACTAATATATGTATTTCTAAGCCACTTTACTTATAACTGTATTAGTGAAATAAATTTCATTAGAAAAAAATATTTAGTTATTTTATTTCATATTAATGATACGAGGACGACATATATTACTTTTATTTATAAAATAATACAATTTTTATTCAAAATAGAGACTAAAACGTGCCTAACTGGTTTTTTTTACCAAAACCATAGAAGAACAAGTAACTTTAGTCCTAGTATTCATCATTCAATGTCATAATTTGAATAGCCGCTTACCTTCGTCAATATATATAAATTTGAGATAATTATAAGAGGCTGTACTTCAAGATGTTATATAAACGATATGTAAGAATGATTAAGCAAATTAACATCTCTTTATTGAATGGGATTGAGTGACAGTAATGACGCATACCATACGAGGAATTTCCGTTTGAATCCTAAAGCTGTTTTCACCATAGTTACCACCTGCGCAACCCTTTCTGTACACTTTGTACAAAGACGCTTTCGTGAAAAACTACAAAATATTTTTTTTCATGCAGCATGCTTTGTGAAAGATTTTTTGGCGAAAGGTGAAATCACATAGTACCAAGGCATGATTCCTTATTCATTAAGAATGGCTTGGGTATCAGGCATTGCTTAACGACGTCCGTAGTAGATACATTAATCTATCTATACAAATGAATATAGTTGAAGTGTCTGTTTTCAATTTCAAATTAACAGCTTGTTACTAAATGAATATGAAAGTATATATACATGGTCCTTTCATCAATTTTTGTTCATCTATGTCTGTCAACAAGAACAGACTTGCTTTTCTCTGAAATGGCTGTAGCTTTTGACTAGGCTTATACTAGGAAATTATGAATGCTATAAGGAGT